TGGAGGTTGTGGTGAGCCGAGATCGCGCCATTGCACTCCAGCCTGGGTAACATGAGTGAAACTCCGTCTCAACAAAAAAAAAAAAAAAAGAAAAGAAAGTAATTGCTGGGCATGGAGGCTCACACCTGCAATCGAGGCTAAGGGGGGGCGGATCACGAGGTCAGGAGTTTGAGACCAGCCTGGCCAACACGGTGAAACCCCGTCTCTACTAAAAATACAAAAAGTAGCTGGGCATGGTGGCAAATGCCTGCAATCGTAGCTGCTTGGGAGGCTGAGGCAGGAGAATTGCTGGAACCCTGGAGGTGGGGGTTGCAGTGAGCCAAGATCACGCCAGTGCACTCCAGCCTGGGCAACAAGAGCAAAACTCCGTCCCCAAAAAAAAAAAAAAAGAATCAACAGTGTTTCCCAAATTTCTCTCACCCTGAATCCTTTTTCACTTAAACACCTATTGATTTTCTGCAGAAAAATACCAAACACAACTTGGGAAACGATCCACATAGGGCCCAAGCTGAGCCCCCCACCCAGCTTGCAGCTGCACCAGCCCAGGTGTTTCTGCCACACAGGCAGGTGAAGTGCTGATGCAGCTGGTGTAATGCCCCATTTTCCAGGTAAGTCACATGGAGCCAGTTCTGAGGGTATGCACATTTAAAAACTGGTCATTCTAGCTGGGTGTAATGGCATATGCCTATAAACCCAGCGACTCAGGAGGCTGAGGCAGGAGAATCGCTTGAACCCAGGAGGTGGATGTTGCTGTGAGCCAAGATAGCACCACTGCACTCCAGCCTGGGTGACAGAGCAAGACTCCATCTCAAAAGTATAAAATAAAAACTGGTCATTCTCACAATTTTAAGGTCATATGATTGAGAGGTAGAAGGCTGGAAGTTATTAAGGCTACCAAGCTAAAGGTCTTAATCTCATGATGGCTGTTTCAGTATCTGCTCCCTCCTTTTATAGGAAGCATTTCCAGCTGACCCAGGGAACTATCAATACCTTAAATTATAACCTGACATGAAACCTGACTTGTAGGGGACATTACTTATGGAAAAATTCTAAAACATTAAAAAAGGAACCAAAAACAAAAAATGTAAAAGGCCGGGCACGGTGACTCACACCTGTAATCCCAGCACTCTGAGGGGTCAAGGTAGGTGGGTCACCTGAGCTCAGGAACTCGAGACCAGCCTGGACAACACAAAAAATGTCTCTACAAAAAAAATAAATAAAACCAATCCCCAAAGTGGCTTTCCTCAGGAGTGCTGGTATATTAGAAGCCTTAAAGGTAATTTTGCATTTGAGTTGTTGAAGCAACTCAAACGAAAATGCACATTTACAGCAGGTCACAGTGGCTCATGCCTATAATCCCAACACTTTGGGATGCGGAGGCAGGTGGATCACCTGAGGTCAGGAGTTTGAGACCAGCCTAGCCAATATGGTGAAATGCCATCTCTACTAAAAACAGATATTAGCCAGGTGTGGTGGTGCATGCCTGTAATCCCAGCTACTTGGGAGGCTGGGGCAGGAGAATCACCTGAACCCAGGAGGCAGAGGTTGCGCTGATCATGCCACTGCACGACAGCCTGGGCAACAGAGCAAGATTCCATCTCAAAACAAAAAAATGTACATTCACCAAGCGTAATTTACATTTGGCACTGAGGACAACATGCAAACTAAAAGGAAAAGCAGCCAGGCAAGGTGGCTTATGCCTGTAATCCCCAGCACTTTGGGAGGACCAGGTGGGTGGATCACCCGAGGTCAGGACTTCAAGGCCAGCCTGACCAATATGATGAAACCCTGTCTCTACTAAAAATTAGCCAGGTGTGGTGGTAGCTCCTACAGTCCCAGCTACTCAGGAGGAGGAGGCAGGAGAATCACTTAAACCTGGAGGCAGAGGCTGCAGTGAGCCAACATCGCCCCACTGCACTGCAATCTGGGCGACAGAGCAAGTCTCTGTCTCAAAAAAGAGAAAAAACAAAGGGAAAAATAAAACTCAAACCCTACTGGACATTCAAGTGAAAGCAGGAAGAACATCTGCCTTTGGGAGTGGCCCCCACAGGACTCGCTCTGCTCAGGGACTCATCGCCACGCTCCTCCCACCTCTGTGCACGTGATAACCCTGCCTCCGAGGCCGGTAGGTGCAACTTGTCAAGGCAAAGGCAGCACAATCATGACCCCCGCTCCAGAAGGGCCGAACGCCGGCTTCCACTTGGGCCTGCGGCAGCTTTATTCACAAGGTGAATCCTGCAAGGTTCATCTCCTACTGAGGGAAATAAAGCAAGCTATTTCTTATTCCAGCTCATCCCACGTGTTTGAAATCCTACAGGCTTGGAATGTTTGTACATAATTTTCAAATTCATTTAAAATGGCTTATACACAATTTATGTTTAACAGACTTTTCACATGAGAATTTAAAAGCATTACAAACACAGCAAAAAGCCATGATGATTTTCAGCTTTCTGTCTACAATATGCTCTTTTAAAATACCTTAAGAACCAAAGAAGCCAGACCCGGTGGCTCACACCTGTAATGCCAGCACTTCGGGAGGCCGAGCGGATCACCTGAGGTCCCAAGTTCAAGACCAGCCTGAACAACGTGGAGAAACCCCGTCTCTACTAAAAATACAAAATGAGCTGGGTGTGGTGGCGCATGCCTGTAATCAATCTCAGCTACTTGGGAGGCTGAGGCAGGACAATCACTTGAACCTGGGAGGCGAAGATTGCAGTGAGCCAAGATCGTGCCACTGCACTCCAGCCTGGGCAATGAGGGAAACTTCGTCTCAAAAAAAAAAAAAAAAAAAAAAAAAAAACTAACTAAAGAAAAGCTCACTGGGGCAACACTTTTATCCACACATCATGACTCTTCAAAGACCTTTCAATCCCAGCACAGGGGCCTGCAGCTGTGCTGGAGTCCCTGGCCCCTGGTTTCTGCAGGAAAATAAAGCTGAACAGCCGCATTCCAGTTCTTCTGAAGAAAGGGACCAAGAACAGGTTTTAATAATGAAAAAGTCTCAAGTGACTGGTCATATATGAAACATGGTGCTACAGTAGTTTTTCAATTTATAGAAGAGACAGACATACAATGCAAAAAACGCGACTTGCTCACCTTGGTGAGGGCGGGGAGCACGGAGTTTCCACAATCTGAGTCTTCTTGGCATCGAGTGTCTGGAAATGGGCTATGAGCGCCTCCAGGTCTTCCTAGGAAACCAAGCAGGCACACGTGAGACTCGTTCCCTGGACATGCCACGGAGCCACAGCCTGCTCAGCTTTCCTCCAGTCAGTGTGACTGGACTGGGCTAGGTCACGTCTGTGAACGGGTAACACACTGTGCCTGTGTTTGAAATGCAGAGTTCGACACACTCCAAAGTCACCAGAGCTGGACCTCAAAGGTGGTTTATTAGAAACGTAAATGTGTACTCCAGGTATCACCTCATTCCAGGCCCTTAACGCTCCCCTGCAGGACCTTCCACTTAAGCCCCTAGCTACTTCGGCGCAGGCACCCTCAGCGCCTCTCACAACCCAGGCCTGGCCGGCGCACCTGCCTGCCTTCCTGTCTGCAGCGTCCGATACATTTCTCTCACTCATTTGCTTCCTCCACACCCCTCTACCCCAACAAAATATGAGCTCCATCACAGCAAGACGTGCAACTGGTTAAAACGCTGCCTGCACAGCAAGGGCGCGGCAAACGCCAGCTGCGGTCTATCTGTGGAAGCTCTTGAGTTTTCCTAGCATGGTGGGTGACTTAAGGCACTGAGGGGGGCAGCACTGGAACCGAGTGTTCCTGCCTCAGCCAGAACCCATTTCCCAACACTCACGAAACAGCCCAGCCTGACAGCTCCAGTTCCTTCTATCCTCAGCTGTCCTTCTTGGAGCTACGGACACCTGCAGATCACTTCCCTCTCCAGCCCCACCTCCCACCCAGCCCTTACTCCCCGAGCTACACCAGCTTCCTCTCCGTTCAATGAACACACACCCCATTCCCTCAGCCTCAACAGCCGCCTCGCCCCATCCGTGTTTCCTTCAGCCCACCCCTCAGTCCCGGGGTGAATGTCAATCCCTCCCAGTCAGCTCTCACAGCAGGACACAGTGCTTAGAAGTCTGTAGATGAGATATTTAAAACATATATGGTACAGAACTCTATCGAAGACACTCCTGTGCACCATTCCCAGGGTAAGGGATAGTGTCACTTGTGTGTAGCACCCACACATTTCCCAAACTAACCATTACCTGGAACTCAGAGCTTATTAGTCTCAAGCTTTTTACACTTCTATTACACATGTGGATCCCTAAGCAACACATAGTGCTGTTTTACAGTTTTAAATCTCACTAAATGGGCCGGGCGCAGGGCCTCACATCTGTAATCCCAGCTCTACGGGAGGCCAAGGCGGGTGGATCATGAGGTTAGGAGTTTGAGACCAGCCTGGCCAACATGACGAAACCCTGTCTCTACTAAAAATACAAAAAAATTAGCCGGGCATGGTGGCAGGCACCTGTAACCCCAGCTATTCAGGAGGCTGAGGCAGGAGAACTGCTTGAACCCCGGACGCAGAGACTGTAGTGAGCCAAGATCACGTCATTGTACTGCAGCCTGGGCAACAAGAGCGAGACTCCGTCTCAAAATAAATAGCTATTAAGTGGTATCATATCGCATTCTTTCAACTTGTTTTTTGCTTAACAAGGTTAAACGGTTCAAATACTAATGTCTATGAACTGAGAAAGCTTTGCCATTGCTACTCTAAGGCAGCAGTCTTTAAACTTGAGTGAACATCATCACTGGGTGACCAAGAGCAAGGTGGTAGGATCTGGGTGACACCGGTGGCCTAGTCAGTGACAGCCTCTCCAAGGTGACATTAAGCTGAATGCTGAGAAGACGACAGGAGTATGACTGGGGTCCAAGTAAGACCACAGGCAGAACTTGGCATGTTTGAGACACTAAAAAAAAAAAAAAGAAGCACTACAGCTGGAGGGAGCCCAGGGAGACGCTGAAGAGGCAGGCAGAACCAGGACCAAGTGCAGGTGCCAACCAGGTGATCTGATACAGGAGTCTCTGCGCAGAATTCCAAGCTGTCCCCAAGATCTCCCTTCCCCCAAAAATTCCCAGGACTGTCAAATAATGGGATTACCACTCTCGTGATTAGGTTGCATTGCAGACAGCTGAATTTAAGAGAGCTCGATGATCCTCCGTGGACCTAGCCTAATCAGATGACCAGTTATTTTAAAGGTTTGTTTTGAGGATTAAGATAACATAAAAATCCCCAGGCCTGACACTCACTCTTCTCTTACAGAAAGCTATAGTTACAATCACCTACATACTGGGCACCGGAAAGACACACGAAGATGAGTAAAAATGACAGGTAACAGCTGGTTGCTGAGTGCTTACTTTTTGCCAAGCACCATTCTGAAGATGCCACACAGGGAAACTGACTTCCTGTGCCTCGACCCTAACCAGCAGGTCATGTCACTGCACTCCAGCCTGGGCGACAGAGCACGACTATGTTTCAATAAAAAAAAGAATGTCAAAGCTAAGAGGAGGGTGAGGGAAAAGTCCAACTCCGTGATCTGAGCGATGAATACACGGAGAGATCAACGATTTAGGAAGAAAAGGGACAAAGGAATGTGGTCAAGAGCTCCGGGTTCGAGACATCCGCTCACATCCCAGTTCCTACTGCTTCATGGTTCACCCGCTGTTCTGAATTCCCGTCCAATGGGAACACCAGTGCTGCGGAATTCTCCTGGTGGTGAGGTTTCAAGCCCAGGTAGCACTGTGCCTGGCACACAGCAAGCAATAAACACTGGCCATGAAAACTGCCCCCAGTTAGGAAACCCATGAGCAGTAGCCGAAGAACACTCAGCCCCAAGTTCAGGACGGACCCTCCCGCAGACCCTGGGCTGAGGACCAGAAGGAAGGAGACAATAGTGGTGGCCGCCATCAGCTGCTGTGAGATACCCTGCGGCTCCAGGGCCTTCTTCACTTAAGCCCATCTGCTGCTCCCTCCTCAGGATTGCTGCGATTGTTCGTCCTCTTAAAAAACGAAAAGAGTGAGGTTCAGGAAAGCTAGGAGTCTTACTCCCAGACCAGACATCTTGCAGAGGCACCCCCTAGACTCAACCCCAGGTCGTCCTACGCCAAAACCCTGCCTCTTCCCACCACCCAGCCGCCCTTTAAAGGGAGGAAGAAGGGGGAGGAAACGCAGAAAAACGCCCGAGACACCATACGAAGAAAAGCAAGCACGTTAAAGGGGAAGCTCCGTCGTTCTTCGAGAAGCGGCAGACACACGTGGAGACTCGGGAAGGGGCGGGCGCCGTGCAGCCGACCGGATGCGGCACCGGCTCGGCTCCCACAGCGCACGCGAGGACCCACAACCCGGGGGGCGCAGGGTCTCGGCCGAGACTGCACGGCAGCGGCGTCTGGCCGCTAGGTCCGCTCTGTCCCGCTCACCTCCTCCTTCCGCGAGCGCTTGGACACCTTCTTCTCCATCTTGGCGGCTGTCTTCTCCGCGCCGCGGCCCTTCTTCTCCTTCTTACCTTTCTTGCCCATCTTGCCGGATCCGAGGCCGCGCCGAAACACCAGAGGAGGAAACGGCGCGGGCTCTCCGCCCAGAAACAGGTGTTCGTGGGGCGGAGCGCGGCCGTTTCTGGGCTCGGCGCACAGAAAGGGCGTCACTTCCGGCCCCGAGCCCGAGTCGCTTCCGGGTGGAGGCACAACTGGGTTCTTTACTAGGTTAGGTCTTGGAACTTGGTCTTTGGCAGCGGGCTCGGGGGCCTCGGACTCCACATAAGGTCCGGGAGAAGATGACCCACCCTGGACTGGGCGCGGTGGCTCTTCCCTGTAACCCTGGCCCTTTGAGAGGCCCTGGCGGGCGGATCGCTTGAATCCCTAAGTTCGAGCCCCCCCCCAACTCTACAAAAGAGGAGAATTAGCCGGCGTGGTGGCGCGCGCCTGCGGTCCTAGCTCCTCCAGAGGCTGAGGCAGGAAGATCGCTTCACTCAAGGGATTCCAGGCTGCGGTGAGCTACGATTGCACCACTGCACCCCAGCCTGGGCGACAGAGCGAGGTCCTGTTTCAAAACACAGAAACCAAAAGCATGGCAACCCCGGCCTGACGTACCTGGGAGAGGCTCGCCATTCTCACGCCCTGTGCCCCCAGCTAGCCAGGCCCCGTGTCCGAGGAGACGCGCCCTCTGAGTTTTATTTTTATTTCTTGAGACAAGGTCTAGGTCTGTCGCCAGTCGGGAGTGCAGTGGCGAGATCTCGGCTCACCGCAACCTCCGCCTCCCGGGCCCAAGCGATTCTCGTGCCTCAACCTCCCGAGTAGCTGGGCTCACAGGTGCCCACCACGGCCGGCTCATTTTCTGCGTTCTCCCAGGATGCACGTGGCCCGTTTAGGTACATTGCTAAGCCCTGTGTCTAATTGCCTAACTATTAGCCGCATTTTTTTCCGCGTGGACCAATCAAATGAATGCTGTGACCTCACGCCCTAGTGAAGTTTGCAGACACTAAATAAGACAGTCCCTTCCACCATCCCATTTAAAATGTGCCAGATGATGGCAGGGCACGGTGGCTCACACCTGTAATCCCAGCACTTTGGGAGGTGGAGGCAGGCGGATCACGAGATCAGGAGTTCGAGGCCAGCCTGGCCAACAACATAGTGAAACCCCGTCTCTACTAAAAAATAGAAAAAAATTAGCTGGGCGTGGTGGCAGGTGCGTGTAATCCTACCTACTCAGGAAGCTGAGGCAGGAGAATCGCTTGAACCTGGGAGGCTGAGGTTGCAGTAAGCCCAGATGGCGCCATTGCACTCCAGCCTGGACGACAACAGTGAAACTCCATCTCAAAAAAAAAAAAAAAAAAAAAAAGTGCCAGATGCTGTTAGGTACTAAGGACATGTCCTCAAATGTCCCAGTATGGAGGACGTTTGTGTCCTCATTGGTAGGCTAGAGCTAATGATAGCATCCTGCAAGGGTCCTCAATTTGTGGAGCCTGAAAAATAAAGATGGGTAACATCCAAGTGTCTGTTAGGAAACTATACTCGAGGATTTGCCTCAAATTACGTAAGAAATGGCAAAATCATCTGCAGAGCATGGAATGTTATGATTTGAAAGAGCAGAGTACAAATGCTCATCACTACTTGGAAGATGTCATCTTTGGACTTGTAATCAAGGAACAAGGCAAGTTAAGGACAAAGACAAGCCAAGTTCAAGTGATTCTCCTGCCTCAGCCTCCCAAGTAGCTGGAATTATAGGTGCCTGCTACCACACCCAGCTGATTTTTTTTTTTTTTTTTTTTTAGTAGAGACGGGTTTCTCCACGTTGGTCAGGCTGGTTTTGAACTTCTGACCTCAGGTGATCTGCCCGCCTCAGCATCCGAGAGTAGTGGGATTACAGGTGTAAGCCACCGCACCTCGCCTCATAACCCAAGTTCTTTAAGAAGAAAAATGAAATTTGGGGAAATAATGAGAAGAAAAGGTAGAACCGGCTGAAAGTCACCGTGGTCTCCAGCACTGCTGGTAGGAAACTTGTGTGATGACAGGAAAAAAAACAAGAATGAGTTAGAAGCTGAGAGCAAAAAGGAGCTGGAGAATTTCACAGATACCCAGCCTCAGCCTCTAGGCATGATTATCTTCTATGATGAGCTGCAGAAGGCTAAGTCCTCACTATCGCCCTGGGGAAATAGTTCTGTCCCCTTTAGCCTGCTATTACTTTAAGAACATATCTAATCCCTTAATACTTTTCTAAAAATCCTGGGTAACCCTGAAGCAACGCACTTGAAGCAAAATGGCTCTTCATTCACAGTACCTCTATGTGCAATACATTACAATGGTGCCCACTTCAGGCCAGTGAGAGGGAGTGCATAGAACCTACTGAAGCTTAGGAGGATCTCGTGGACCGGGGGTTTAATGCTTTTATTATCTGAAAGAAGCTTGTAGCTAAATTAGAAGGCTCTCAGATTATAGGTGTCATGGTGATTTACGTGAGATTGAAATTCTCGTTACTGATAAAGACAGGGAATGGAACATCTAAAATGAGATCAGATCCTAAAATAGTCAAAAGATTAAGTACAGGGCTCTGTTTTAAAATTCACAGTTTTGAAACTAATGCATTCCCTTTACCACTAACTTGCAGAGTGTATCAGGCGCCCTCTGCTGCCCTCATGTGGAGTGCAGAAGAGAAAAATTATTAATACTGGGCTACAGGCCGGGCGCGGTGGCTCAAGCCTGTAATCCCAGCACTTTGGGAGGCCGAGGTGGGTGGATCACGAGGTCAAGAGATCGAGACCATCCTGGTCAACACGGTGAAACCTCGTCTCTACCAAAAAAATACAAAAAAAATTAGCTGGGCATGGTGGCACGTGCCTGTAATCCCAGCTACTCAGGAGGCTGAGGCAGGAGAATTGCCTGAACCCAGGAGGCGGAGGTTGCGGTGAGCCGAGATCGCGCCGTTGCACTCCAGCCTGGGTAACAAGAGCGAAACTCCGTCTCAATTAAAAAAATAAATAAATGAAAATAAAAATACTGGACTACGTTTTAGGAAAATATGCTAACTTCTAATTACCCTTACCACAAGTAATCATTGTGATTGGAAGGCTTTGCCAAGTGTGGTATGGATTATGTGGCTCTTTGTACGTTTCTCGTCTGGAAACTGGTAATGTTGAACCACTACACCGTTCACCTACTACACAGGATTCTTGGGAAAATCAAGTGAAATAATAATAAAGCTTAGGAAAGTAAAAAAGCAAAATACAAAGTTGGGTTTTTTTTTTTTTTTTTTTTTGAAGGAAATGGAGACTCCATCCCCAGGCTGGAATGTAATGGCATGATCTCGGCTCACTGCAACTGCGGCCTCCCAGGTACAAGCGATTCTCTAACCTCAGTCTCCCAAGAAGCTGGGATTACAGGCGCCCACCACCACACTCGGCTAATGTTTGTATTTTTAGTAGAGATGGGGTTTCACCATTTGGCCAGGCTGGTCTCAAACTCCTGACCTCAGGTGATTCACCCACCTGGGATTATAGGCATGAGCCACTGCGCCCGGCCTTACTGAATTTTTTCTACTTCTTTGAATCCATTCCAGAGAGAAGAATAACATTTCCAACTATAATCAGGAATTTATCCATGTGTTGCTTATATACAATAAACTGTCTATGTTTCAAGTGTGCACACGTGGCCAGGCTGAGGCAGGTGGGTGCTGAGAAGCAAGAGAAATTACAGTTGGCTCCTGGCCTCTGAGAAGGGCCCCCGCTCAGGAGAATCCTCAAGGGCTGAGGAGAAACAAGTACAGAATTTGTCAGCCTTGAAGTTCCAAATTGGAAACGTGTGTCCCTGGGTAGGGTAAATGGATTACCTTCTTCAAGATTTTGCAATTTCTTTTTTTTGTGTATTGAGATGGAGTCTCACTCTATTGCCCAGGCTGGAGTGCAATGGTGCGATCTTGGCTCACTGGAACCTCCGCATCACAGGTTCAACAGAGTCTCCTGCCTCAGCCTCCTGAGTAGCTGTGATTACAGGTACCCGCCACTACCCCTGACTCATTTTTTTCATTTTTAGTAGAGACTGGGTTTCACCATGTTGGCCAGGCTGGTCTCAAACTCCTGACCCTAGATGACGCACCCGCATCAGCCTCCTAAAATGCTGGGATTACAGGTGTGAGCCACCGAGCCTGGCCAATTTTCCAATTTCATAGCATAAAGCAAGATGTGATGTTCTTCTAATTAAAACAATAAATTAATCAAGGTGTAGAATTTAATATGTGTTAACACTGTCGAGGTCAAATTAAAATAGAGATGATCTCTAAACAAAACATGTCAAAGTCAAATAAAAATATAGAGGGATCGATAAACAAAACATTTTGTATGGGAATCACAGAATTACATTGTGGGGCATATCCACAGGCTGGGGTGAACTTCAGTATGTCCAAAGAACAAAGAGCAAGTTGGGGATTTTATTAAAAAGAGAAATGTGGCCGGTCGAGGTGGCTCACGCCTGTTATTCCCAACATTTTGATAGGCCAAGGTGAGATGATCATTTGAGGTCAGGAGTTCAAGACTAACCTGGCCAACATGATGAAACCCTATCTCTACTAAAAATACTGAAATTAGCTGACCGTGGTGATGCATGCCTGTAATCCCAGCTACTTGGGAGGCTGAGGCAGGAGAATCCCTTGAACCTGGGAGGCAGAGGTTGCAGTGAGCCGAGATTATGCTACTACACTCCAGCCTGGGCAACAGAGTGAGACTCCATCTCAAAAATAAAACTAAAAAGAGAAATGTGGCCGGGCATGGTGGCTCACACCTGTAATCCCAGCACTTTAGGAGGCTGAGGCGGGTGGGTCATCTAAGGTGAGGAGTTTGAGACCAGCCTGGCCAACATGGTGAAATCCCGTCTCTACTAAAAATACAAAAATTAGCCAGGCGTCGTGGTGCATGCCTGTAATCCCAGCTACTCAGGAACTCAGGACGCTGAGGCAGGACAATTGCTTGAACCTGGGAGGCAGAGGTTATAGTGAACCAGGATTGCGCCACTACACTCCAGCCGGGTGACAGAACAAGACTCCGTTTCACATAACAACAACAGAAAATACAAAGTACAAAAATTAGCTAGGCGTGGTGGCTGACACCTGTAACCCCAGCTACCTGGGCGGCAGAGGCATGAGAATGGCTTGAACTCAGGAGACGGAGGTTACAATGAGGCAAGATTGTACCACTGCACTCCAGCCTGGACCTGGATGACAGAGCAAGACTCAGTCTCAAAAAAAGAGAGCAAGAGAGTGAGAGAAATGTTACATAATGTTTCAAAATAAAACTCATTGGCTCATTGGCACTGGCAAAGTTTTTGGGAGTTGGTTGGTGAGTGAGGGTG